GTGCATTTTACATGTTCAAGTTAAAATAACATCTTTAAGGAAAGGTAAATATTTTTGCAGTTACTGATGTTTTCACTTAATGGGCCAACTTCTTCATCTGAGGTTGACTGGAAATATATCTTTGAACTCTGCAGCTATCTTAGCTGCCTTGCTAGCTTAGCCTATGCTATGCATGCGTTGTGTATCTTTATCATGTTATATTGTAATTTTTAAATTAAATGTCAGTTCCTGTATTATAAGTGGTATGGTAAGGGGATATAATTTAGTTTAAAATGTACTCCACATTTTTTACCTTGATCTTATACACACACATCACAGTACTTTTATTTAGGATATACGGATTTTATATGGAAATAAAATCCATATATTAGATGACTGTTACCATGAAACCATACTCCATTTTCAATGTATATCCAGTGTTCTTGACTGCTGAGTTTTCGATCTACCACGAGGCTTACAAAGCCATATCTCTTAACTTGTTGCAGCTGAGTTTTAATTTGCTATCTATTTTTAATTTTCACTTAGTGATTAAATCAGAAATATTTCTCAACTCTTTATCTGTTTGTTTCTTTGAGACAGAGTCTCACTATGTTACCTGGGCTAGACTGCCCTGGCGTCAGCCTAGCTCACAGCAACCTCAAACTCCTGGGATCAAGCGTTCCTACTGCCTCAGCCTCCTGAGTAGCTGGGACTATAGGCATGTGCCACTGTGCCCAGCTAATTTTATATATATTTTTTTAATTGTCCAGCTAATTTCTTTCTATTTATTTTATTTTATTTTATTTTATTTTATTTTATTTTATTTTATTTTATTTTTTTGAGACAGAGTCTCACTTCTGTTGCCCAGGCTAGAGTGCTGTGGCATAAGCTTAATTAGCTCACAGCAACCTCAAACTCCTGGGCTCAAGCGATTCTCCTGCCTCAGCCTCCCAAATAGCTGGGACTGCAGGCACACGCCACCATGACTAGCTAATTTTTTTTTATATATTTTTAGTTGGCCAATTAATTTCTTTCTAATTTTGATAGAGCCGAGGTCTCACTCTTGCTCAGGCTGGTTTCAAAGTCCTGACCTTGAGCGATTCTCCGGCGGCTTCCCAGAGAGCTAGGATTACAGGCGTGAGCCACTACGCCTGGCCCTTCTCAACTCTTTTTAACAGTGAAAGATTTAACATTGTGCTAGAAATCTTAATTTTGTATTTCAAACGGTAAGTTTTTTAATTACAAAAGAAATTTTAGTGCCATGTGTTTGGGGTAACTAGTGAAACAAATGCAAAGATATTGGCCGGGTGGAGGTGGCTCACGCCTGTAATCCTACCACTCTGGGAGGCCGAGGCGGGCGGATTGCTCGAGGTCAGGAGTTTGAAACCAGCCTGAGCTAGACCCCATCTCTACTAAATATAGAAAGAAATTAATTGGACAACTAAAAATATATACACAAAATTAGCTGGGCATGGCGGCACATGCCTGTAGTCCCAGCTACTCGGGAGGCTGAGGCAGGAGGATCACTTGAGCCCAGGAGTTTGAGGTTGCTGTGAGCTAGGCTAATGCCAGGGCACTCACTCTAGCCTGAGGAACAAAGTGAGACTCTGTCTCAAAAAAAAAAAAAAGAATGCAAAGATAACCAGCCCAGGGTTATCTGTCTGCACTTTGAATTTCTGATTTCTTAAATGGATTGATTTTTGAGTATAAGCTAGATATGGCTCTATACGTCTAGTCCTAGCTATTTGGTTGCTAGATATAGCATTAAAACCAAACTTATCTAAAGCTACAATCAATCCTAAATACTATTCTCATTTCCTTAATAAATAAGGAATGTTAATGTTACCATTCTTCTTCCAGTCACCCAAGTTTAAAAATACTGTCATTTTTGACTTCTTCCTTTCCATTTGCCACAGACATCCTATAAGGGCAGACCTTATTTTTATCCCCTTTTCGTACCTATCCCCCTTTCAGTTCTTGTTGCTTCTATCCAAGTTTAAAATGTACCTCACACATTGTAGAATTTTGTAACTGGTTTCCCTGTAGATAGTATGTTCTCTCACAAATCCGTTTCTCACCATTGCCCGGTTTTGTTAAGGCATACCTCTAAATCTTCACCTTAAGAACCTCATCTTCACCCAAATAAAAGAATTACTTCTTGATAATTCAGTAAGAGTTTCATTCAAGACCCTATTCTGCTGTTTTTTTTTTTTTTTTTTCCTTTTAAGGGGCACAGTCAGCTGGTTATTCTGCTGTTTTTTAAGATCTTTCAAGTCAAGGTCTATGCCATTAACTTATTCATTTATTTTTTATTCAGTAAATATTTGAATGCCGTGTGCTATACAGGTTGTTAGGGATACAGTGGGCCCTGCTCTGATGGATTTTGTAGTGTCTTTTCTCTTTGTGTTCTGTTCTACATACAGAACAAATATTTGTTGAATTTACATAAATACAGGATTTTGAAGAACATTTATGTTTTGCTTTTTATGAGGTTGGAGAAGAGGTACAGACTATCTGGTATATTTCTGGAATTAAACTCAAGGTTAGTAAAAGTAAATCTCAGATCTTTTCTAATTCAGGTAAATAATTAATTGATATTTTCTGCTGTCATATGTTTTCCAGTGTTACTGGAATTTAAATGTTAGTGGAATTCTACTAGTATTCAGATTTTTAAAATGAGTCCAATTCTGATAGAAGATCTAATTTGACAAAGTTTTAAAAAAGTATCCCAGAATTACTAAACTTTGGAGGGCTCTTTAAAATTACATGATGTAACTCATTCTTTTTATAGTTAAGGAAAAACCTAGGGAGGTGATTGCTGCTGGGCTAGTGTGGTAAAATTAGTTCTTGATGTTTTTATGCGATATATAATACACACTTAAAACCATAAGAATAGATTAAAATAGATTAGTCATAAACAGTGTTACCTAAAAAATTTTATTTGAAGAAAGGTTGATATGATTATTATCAATATAAGTTAGTTACCAAAGAGCTGTGATTTAAATTGTTGAGTGAAGTTGTTGGTTTAAAAGCCATAGTGTTGAAGTGAGCTCATTTGCAGTCTGTCTTAATGATATTTCAGTGTTTCTACTGTAATACTGAATATTGTCATTTTTTAAATTCACAAACTAACATTTGAGCAGATTTGAAGCACAAATTGCCTGTGGGTCCTTAATTACATTTTGAAAAATGTGTTCATAATTGACACTTATATTATCTATTTTAAATAATCTGTGAGCCTTTGCATCTCAAATTTAACTCACACTAAAGCAAGGTTATCAAAATGAAATAAAGATACAGGATATAATTTTATAATCAGTTTGAAGAAAGCGTGATGTCAGTTTGAAAAGACATCTGCTATTTAGCCATTGGATTTCAAAGTGAAGAGAATTTTATGCCTTAAGAATGAAATAGAAAAAAGAAATTCTTAAAATACCATGTTGTGATTCTTCTCTTAAGTTGAAAAAATATTGAAAACATTGTTACCAGAGGTAAATGTTTTTGTTTTTTTAAAAAATACTAGGTTCTTTATTTTATAATTTAAAAAATGTAATATGCTGAAATAAAAAAATAAATGGGAAAAAAATTTAAAAATGTATAAGTATATACTTTTTATTACTGCTCTTATAATTGTTGGACTCATTTATTCATTAGAGAAATGTTTGTTGAGCACCTGCCATCTCCAAGGTACTATTCTGAGTGCTAGGATTACAGGGACGAACCAAAACAGAGCTCTACTGGAGCTTACTTTGTAGTGAGGATACAAATAATCAGCAAATTAAACATCTAACATGCCAGGCGGTGGTAAGTTCTGTGAAAAAAATTAAGAGGTCCAGGAGATAGAGAATGACGAGAGATCTAATTTACATAGAGTAGTCAGTGAACACCATTTTGATAATTTACCAGTGTAGTAATTTTTAATAAGTATTGGTCTTTCATAAATGCCCCAGAAAGTAATTATCATCAGAGTTGGATAAATTTTGGGGGGGAAACAATTTTATGTTTGGCAAAAGTTGATGAAACAGAAGAAAAAGTGCTATTTAAATGCTGAATTTGTGCCAGAAAAGTATTAATGCTTAAGCTTACTACATATTTTTCATTAAAAAAAATCAGAAATATGAGAATTCCTACAAATCTAGAAGATAGACAGCTTAATAGAAAAAAACCAGCAAGAGACCTAAACAACCATTTCACAGAGGATATCCAAATGACAATAAACATGAAAAGTTACTCAACCACATTAATAATTAAGAAAATGTAAAGGAAAACCAAATAGGATACCACTATATATTCATCAAAATGACTAAAATTAAGACAATACCAGTGTTAGCTAGATGTGGAGTACTAGGAATTCTCATATGCTGCTTCTAGGAGTACAAGTTGGTAACAGCAATCACAGGTGAACACATGTGTAGCTTATGACCTAGCAGTTTTACCTCTGAATACACACAACTGTAATGCATATACATATGTACTGAGCAAAATGTGCAAATATGTTTATAGAAGCATTTTCAAAAGTCTAAAAGTAGAAACAACTCATATGTCTGTCAGTACTAGAATGGATTTTGATAGTCATATATTTATGCAGTGGAATACTATATAGCCATAAAAACCAATCGTCAGTTGCTATAACAGATTAACTTCAAAACAATGCTGAACAAAAGAATACATTTATATGAAGTTCAAAAGCAGATAAAATTAATTTATACTAAGAATAGTAGCTACCTTTGGGAAGAGACATGAGAAAGGCTTCTTTTTGTTGTTGTTTTTTAGTTTTTATTTTTTTTGTTTTGTTTTGTTTTGAGACAGGGTCTTGCTCTGTCACCTAGACTGGAGTGCAGTGGCAAGATCATAGATCACTGCAACTTTGAACACCTGGCCTCAGGTGATCCTCCTCCCCCAGCCTCCTGAATAGCTAGGACTACAGGCACATGCCACTATGCCTGGATAATTTAAAAAATTCTTTTTATAGAAATGGGGTCTCACTATGTTGCCTAGGCTGATCTCAAACTCCTTGGCCTCAAGCAATCAATCCTTCCACCTTGGCCTCCCAAACTACTGGGATTATAGGTGTGAGGCACCACACCAGGCATGAGAAAGACTTCTTAAATGCTGGTAATTATCCTGTGTCTGGACTTAGGCTGGAGATTACATGGTTGGCTTCACACTGTGATAATTTCACTGAACTCTCCACTTGCAATCTGCATACTTTCCTGTTGTATGTCAGACTTTTTTTTTTTTAAGTTTCTTAAAGGCACAGACTTTAGTTGCTATCCATGTGGAAAATAGATCTTAAAAAATTCCAAAACATGACAAAGAGTTAATATCTATAATATACAAAGAGCTTCTACTTGGTGATAAGGAAAAGACAAATAGCCCAAGAGAAAAATAGGCAAATAATATAAGTAGGTAGCTCAGAAAACTAGAAGTCAAATGGCCAGTAAACCTATGAAAATATGCTCAATTGTCCTCTGGTTTAAAAGAATTGTAATATTCATTGTTAACTGTTGGGCCTATGAAAATAAATGAGAATAATACACTCACTTTACCTTTGAAAATGTGAATTTTAGGAAAGTAAACTATTCAAATGTATAATATACATACCATCAACTCAGAAATTCCACTTCCAGGAATAAATTCCATAGACATAAAAACTGCACAAGTATGTTTATCACAGTGTTATTTTAATTGCAAAAAACAAACCTGATAATCAACCCAGATACCCAAGGAAACAGTTTAATAAATTGTTTTACAATATTGAAATATCATGTAACTGTTAAAAAGATTATTGGTTTGTATTTCCATGTATATATAGAATTAGATGAGAAAAGCAAAATGCCAAAACAATGAATACAATATGATCTCTCTTAGAACACTAACAAAAACCCCTGTATATGTATATATACGTTTGTATATAATTTTATAAACATGGACAGAGGTGTGACAGGCTGTTGTCAACATTGAATACCGAGGGGGAATGAGGGGAAGAGGATTGAAAAAATAAAGGTATCAGTGAAAAAGCATAGGATATGAGTCCACTGATATATAAAGTGTTTTGTTTTTGTATACATATGCATATGTATGTATGCACGTAACTAAACCTGTGATTGTGCCAGTGGTGGTTAAATGCTGCTACTTGTCCTTTGCCGACCCCTGGATCCTAGTATTCCTTTAAAATCAGGGAGGCTGTTTCAATAGCTCATCTCCCACTTGCATTGCTAGCCTACTCAGAACAGCTACTACATTAAAGAGGTATATATATTCAATAAATGTCTCAATATATCTCAGCAAACAGGGTCTTTGGGCCCCTTGGGATTAGAGGCATGGTTTAACACTTTAACATTAACATCATTTTAGTTTTTAGATTTTTTTCTTATAGAGAATTATGTTGAGAAATGTCTGACATCAAGGGGCTTTAGTGAAGACCACTGTTGAGTTCTGGCTTCAGTCAGCAAAACAACAAAGCAATTAAAATCACTTCTAGCTATTGGAACTAGCACATGTTGTATGTAGAATCTCTAGTAAGTGTTCTCACATTGATCGATTGAATCCAACTTAAATTTTTATTTATATGAAATTATATTAAAATTTATTCTTTTGTAATAGGTACTTTTTCGTCTGTCAGAGTATAAGTTTAAAACTTTTATTAATAAAAGCAAGATCTGTTTGTGACTCATCTATCTCTGTGGTACATGTGAATATTTAGTAAATATGTGAATAAAAACAACAGTGGCAAGATCTTCATGAGCTACTGCAGTGACAGTTTTCCATTCTGTGTCTGTTACCATGCATTGCAGGATGTTTGCTGTCTCTGGCCCTTGCCCACTCAGCACCTCTAGTACTCTCTGGTCATTCTAACAGCTAAAATCTATACTTCCCCCCTCCAAAATTCCAGAAGCCTTTGGGGACGGTGGGGTTGGTGCGAGAACCACACGGCTAGAGTAATTAAAGAAGTATTTATAAGGATGGTAGTGCCTAAGCTAAATCTTGAAGGATGAGTAGGATTTTAAAATCGGAGAAATTGGGGCGCAAACTGTTAAGAAAGAGGGAGCAACAAGGTAGACTATCTTGACTGAGGAAGCAGTGTGTCTAATGTTGGAAATAAAGTTGGATAGGTAGAGTGAAGGGTGTTCATCGGGAGGAGGTGAGAGGAGAGGGAAAAGTGTCATTTCACTCTCTAATGCATCCTGCATACTACTGCCAAATTAATTTTCTAAAACATTGTCTTGTTCAATAGCCCACTTAATAATGCCATTGCTGTGTGCTCAAGGCATTTTATCTCATATTCATCTAACTTTAACTACTCCTTAAAATTAATTAGGTAAGGCTGGCTGGCTGATCAAACTGATATTTCCCCCTCCTTCCTTGTCAATATTCTCACTGCATGCTTTTATTAATATCTTTCTTACTTTATATAAATCTATCATCATTCTGCCTAAACTACTTTTTATACTATTCTTAGAAGCCTTCTCTCTAATGAAACTGGCCCATGCCACGCCACCCCATCCTGATATCTCTTTTCTGTTTCTTATAGTTTTTATGGTTTTTCCCATATAATTTAGCACAAAAGTGTATGTAGCTTTTTGTGTTTCTCATTCTTGCTTCTCTGGATAATTTTTATTCTCCTAAAGAGCTGTGTGAGCTTAAGATATATGCCTCATAGTATTTTTGTAAGCTACCAAAGCAGCTCTTTTTGTTGTTTGCATTGTTTTTTGGCCAGTCAATATAGGCATTGCCTTTTGTGTAAAATTATTTGATCAGTAGATAGTGAGCATCCTGAAAATTCAAATTCTGCATTTGTAAATCACAAAATTTTAATAGTACAGTATTATAAATGTTTCTTATTTTAACTTATTAAATATTTTTTCTTTTTTTCAATAACTAGATTTAATTATTTTGGGGATTAGGAACCAAGATGCATATATTCTTGTGCCCCCACGGTGTCTAGCAGAGTGCATTGCTCACGATAACTACTAAGTATTTTAAAATTTGATTGATTTTTAATTGCTTTATCAGTTTGCCTTACTGTGACCGTGTTCAGACGGTTGTTTCGTTTTGCTAACAACAGAGAGTACAGTTAGGGTACCTGTACACTAAGTAGTCCAATTCTAGTCCTTGGTAGCTTCCTTGAGACACAGCAGTGTCATAGAAATTTGGATATTATACTAAATGGAAGCATCCCAATTCTAATCATAGAGCAATATTGGCTTCAGGTTATTTGAAAAAGAGTAAGTAAGTACTGTCATATTTTGATCCTTTGTAGTTTCAAACTTTTTATTCTTCTCATTATCCTTTCTTCAGATGGATTCTTGCCCAGGAGCTTACTGTATTACTCAGATACACCCCTTTTGTGAATGGAGAAGGTGGAGGTAAAAGGTGGCAGTCTGGAGCCCCACCTTTGCACCCCCCTCCTCCTCATTCCCTATCCAAACAGCACAGCTTGAATGTCACTGCAACTCATTTAATTTAAAAGTGCTTTTTAAAAACTTATTTTGTAAAACCTCATTTAGTAACTTAGTTTAAAAATAGAAACATTTTAGTTTTAAAGTGGATTTTAAGTACAAAGGAGAATGCTCTGGAATACGTTTCTTGTTTCAGCAACAAAAGAGTTAATTGCACTGAGCTGTAGACACTGAGATACCACCACGGGATAGTGCTTTCTGTCTCTGTCATTTGTGGTTTAAAAAAAGGGGTGGTGTTCTGCATTTGAAAGGACTTTAATGAATGCTGTCAGTGTTTGTGAGACCTAATGGTCAGTGTGGGAAAGGAAAGCTGGGAAAAGTGGTCTAGCTGCTTCAGGATAGGTGGAGGAGAGTTTGCTCTGATTGAACGGAATGTTCCACCGTGTTTCTTTCATCTTTATTCATTATCCTTTGTTCTTTAAAATCTGATATATTGGCATAAAAGTAAATGTAGAGATATATATGAATGTGATTTATTTTCCTTTAAATCTTTTTGTTGTGTACAGCAGGGCATATACTTCTCTTGTCTTGGTTGGATGCACAAATCTGTGTGCAGTGTTTTTTGCTCGTTGCCTAGACAATCACTTGGTTTCTCTGAGGATGTCTGGTTCTCGTAAAGAGTTTGATGTGAAACAGATTTTGAAAATCAGATGGAGGTGGTTTGGCCATCAAGCGTCATCTCCTAATTCTACAGTTGACAGCCAGCAGGGAGAATTTTGGAATCGAGGACAGACTGGAGCAAATTGTGGGAGAAAGTTTTTAGATCCATGTAGCCTACAATTGCCTTTGGCTTCAATTGGTTACCGAAGGTCCAGTCAACTGGATTTTCAGAGTTCACCTTCTTGGCCAATGGCATCTACCTCTGAAGTCCCTGCATTTGAGTTTACAGCAGAAGACTGTGGCGGTGCACATTGGCTGGATAGACCAGAAGTGGACGATGGCACTAGTGAAGAAGAAAATGAATCTGATTCCAGTTCATGCAGGTGGATTATTTTCTTACTGTTAGAAAAGGGGTGTGGGGTATATTCTCTATAATGTTATAATTTAGTATTATTTAAAATGTATGATTATGTAGATTAACATATATACAGATATGTAATATCTTGGTATGAACATGTGATACTTTTGCTAGGATTTTAAAAATATTCTAATCTATAAAATTACAAGAACAATAGCATTCATTTTGAAATACCTTGTGTTCCATATATAGATCTGACTCTGCTTTGAAAATAATACATAGTGGCAATTTTTTGCATCAATGCCTTGCAGTTTCCTTCATTGATTTACCTTCTATATTTATAGCAAAACTATGAGAAGCATTTCTATAGTATAAAATTTTATGTGACCCTTTAGTTGACAACAGATTATAGTCATTTTTTAATTTTATGAAAATGAAAGATTTTACAAAGAGATTCACATTGTAGTTGCCAATTTTTTGATACCATTGTAGTTGTCAATAATATTTTTCTTATGGTTCTCTTTGTCTTATCTGTGTTGCAGCTCTCCAGACTAATACAGAGAATACTAAGTAACATGTCTTTTTCTAAGATGACAGCTACTAATTCCTGTTATGTTCACTTTCACTGAAATTTGTGCTATTTAGGGAAATGAAAGACATTGTTTCAGGAGAGGTTAAGGGAATGTAGAGGGGCTAGATGTGGTCAACTGGTGAAAAGGGGGCGAGGAGAAGGGAAAATGAATTAGAAGAAAAAAATTTTTAAAATGGTAATTTCATAATGACTTTATCAGTCTTTATCCTTGGAACCTGGCTTGGTCTTTGACATGGATTTTTTTATTAATCAGCCTTAACTGCAATAATGTATTATGTAACAAGTTAGAATATGAAAGTCATCTTTCTGATTCATCTTCACTTGCAAATATTTCTCAGTAGTTAAAGGCACAAATAGCTTATCATTTGTCTAGTTTGATTATTCTTTTTCTTTTAAAATTTCTGTGCAGGTTTCACACTTGTAATTTGTAAGTTGTTTATTAATGATGTAGGCATCATATGGGTTGAGACAAAATGAATTCATATATTCAAGTATCTCTTACTTGAGGACATTTATCACCTTCTCTTCTAACCTTCAGAACATGGAATTCTGAACTGTGGTATTGGTCTGATAAAAAATGTAGCCTAGTCATCTGTAATCATTTGTGTAATGGACAGAGGGGAATATCTTTATATAGGTAAATGGTATATTTAATTTAAAAATGTTTAAATTAGTTCATGACTTGGCACTATCTTAAGAGAATAGGAACTACTAGTAATTTTAATATGGAGAACAATTGGGTGAATGTGGTTTCATTGTTTTTGCATTTTGTTTGGAGACTCGTTGCCATAAAGAGAACAGTTTATATAGTAAAAAGTTCATGGTTTAACATTTTTGTGGAAAATTGAAAAGTAAGCATCATTCCATTTGAAAATCAATACAATATATCAAGAATATTTTAACAAAATTAGAAAAAATAAAACATTCATTATCAACATAAGTAAACTAACATACAAAACTCTTAACTTGTATCTACTACGTGGAGAGATTATGTGAGCATAAAATTTTGATACAGGTATAATCTTAGAAAGATCATATACACATTGGTCACTATAATTTACCTCCTTACAACAAAGGTAGTTTGTGTAAGTAATCACTACTGAAATAAAATTAATCTACTCTTTAATATGCATACTGAAATATTATCTTGGTGAGATATTTATAAAAGAAAAAGATATCTTTTTTGACTGAGAGGTTGCTATATTCATTCTTCAAGAACATAAAATTGACATTTTTATTTATAGGAGATAGGAAATAAAATATTTTTAAAAATCTAAATATAGTTCTAAAAATGCTAATGAAGAAGACTCATCAAAGTAAGATGGGAGTTGACAGTTTACATCTTCAGTAACCAAACTATTCCTAAAATATTATCTCAAAAATAAAATGCACTGTAAGAAAATATCTGATTTTGGAAAATATATCAATGCCATTTAATATTCCTGGTGGCTTGAACTTTTAATCTTAACATCTTATTGCAAAAAAGGAAAGAAACAAACATTATAAATTTTAGAAATGTCCTTTGTATGTATGCGTTTACTTCTCCTTTTTTTTTCCTAGATTAAATATATCGAATTCTTACATCTTCCTTCAAGCCTCTGGCTGAGTCTTTGACCTTTATCATAAGGGTACATTTATTTGCTCCCAGCTTTTTGATTAAGTGAGCAGTCAGACTTGTCTAAGTGGTTGCCCTTCTACTGTAAACAATCAGAGCCTATCACCATTAATGTCAAGAGAAGTTACACTGACATTCATCAAAATTTTGTATACAACTTGGGAACAGTTCTTTTTCTTATATAACATTTGCAAATAATGAAATACATAGTAAACATTTTGAGCATACTATGGATTGATATTTAAAAATATTAAAGATATAATGGGAAAATACATATGATATACTAATTTCTTATTTAAATAGTCATATATTTACATAGATCTCAGATATGTAATCTGAGAATTGATTACTGAAAATTTGAGTTATTAGAAAAAAACAGCTGAGAGTTTTACGTACTCAGAATCACATCAGCCACAGTTGATCTGGACAATTTAAAGCAGAAATTAAGATGCAATGTGTGTTGGTAAAATGTTTTATCAATTGTATTCTAGCATGGAAAGATGTCTGCCTGAGCTGTAGACTTCTGGGAATTTCTGCTGCCACCTACCCACTCTTAAAAGTGATTTAAGAGTTTCCCACTTTGAACTTTGATCTTGGGTCTTGTAGCCTAGCCACCTTTTCTCCATGAGAACCATTTAAGTCATTACTTTGGTATTAAAATACAAACTTTGTTTTCTTATACCATGAGGAATTTTAGACCTAAAGTAACAGAGTTGTCACCTTTTATGTGAGCAATAGGTTTTTAAGACCTTAATTCAGGATGAATTCTTACCAGGGCCAGCAAGGTTTATATGGTGGTCACTACTGTGACCATACTATAAATGCAGTTTATACTTCCCTTGTTTTACCTACCTTGAAATTATGTAATTTTTGACATATTTTTAAATGAGGAAATTCCATTATTTCAAATTTTGTTTATAAAGGTAGAGTTTAATACTTCCTGCATTGGACTATTTTTTTAGTCATTTTGCATAAAATTTTACTGCTCTTTACAAATACAGACTGAATCTGTTCCAGGATTCCCAACTTAGGGTGGTTTCACTTATAATTTTTCAACTTTACAATGATGTGAAAGTGATGTTTATTCAGTACTCCTTGACTTACAGTTGAGTTGTGTCCTGATAAACCCTGGTAGGTTGAAAATATCCTAAGTTGAAAGTGCATTTTCAACTTAGGTTGGGCTTATCCAGATATAACTCCATCATAAATCAAGGAGCATCTGTATTAAGAAATGATCATAGCTATCACTCACTGGGTGCTTCCTAACTGTGAGGCACTGTTCTAAGCACTTTACTGTATAACTCATATAGTCTTCACAACAGATTTTTGAGTTAGGTTGCTACTATTATAACCTAACCTAATTCTAATTTTACAGATGGGACAAATGAGGTACAGAAAAACTAACTTGTTCAAGTTAGTAAGTAAAATAGCTACATTTCTAAAGCGAAACTATACTTTTTTTAAAGAATAGTTTTAGATTTATAGGCAAATTGCAAAGATGGTAGAGTGAGTTGTTACATACCCCACAGCCAGTTTCCCCTACTGTTTATATCTTACATTAATGTGGTGCATTGATTACAATTAATGAACCAGTGTTGATACATTATTGTTAATTAAAGCCCATACTTTATTCAGATTTCCTTAGTTTCTTACCTAATGCCCTTTTTCTGTTCCAGGATCCTATTCAAGATACCACATTACATTAAGTCATCATGTATCCTTAGGCTCCTCTTGGCTATGACAGGTTTTTCAGACTTTCCTTGTTTTTTATGACCTTGGCAGTTTTGGGAGTACTGGTCAGGTGTTTTGTAGAATGTCTTACTCAGTTGTGATTTGCCTGATGTTTTTCTCATAATTAGACTGAGGTTATGGGTTTTAGGGAAGAATAGCACAGAGATAAAGTGACATTTTCATCACATTGTCTCAGAGGTACATACTATTAACCTGATTTATCACTGTTGATATTAACCTTGATCACTTGGAAATAGCTGTGTTTTGAACCCAGACAATTAAGATGTAGATTTCATGCTCTTAAGGAAACCCTGTATTGTACTGCCTACATTTGAGTAGACAGTTCTCTGTGACTATTTAATGACTGAGTTCAACTGGATTAACATATAGCTAATTATTCATTCTAAGCAGCTTCATCTTCTTTACCCAGTTAATTCTCCTCTCCTGGTTCTTAAGAATGCCAAGCCTGGCTATGGTACAAGTATGATGTCTGAACCCAGCTGCAACTACTTATCCACAGTCTTCTGACCCATCTTACTGGTCACTTGATACTCTGTGTTCCTGCTGCAGATATCCTGAACTCTTTTATTCCTGAGTCAGCTGATTAGCTACTCTTCAACTCCTCCTGAAGGCAAAGGTCCTCCTCTTCTCTCAGCAAGGAGTTATCCTCCTAACATCACATTTCCTCAAGGGCAGTCTTCTTTTTCTTGGCTTTCTTTATTGTCTCTGGATCTCATTGTTTGATCCAGTCTATTAATTCTGGTTCATTTTTAAATTAAAGTCCTCTGCATTTCCACATTTAAAAAAATTGTTTCCAGAGGTGGCAAAGTTCAACTATAATGTACTTATATCTTTGAAGGATATATTTCACTGCCCCCCTCAAACTTATATGCCCACATTATATCATGGATTCCTTTGAGACTCTGACATAAGCTATGTAACCTCTCCCCAGAAAACTGTGTATGTGTGAGTGAAGTATCTCGTATACAGTTCAAGGAGTTCATGAACCCTCTTAAGCCTATCTGTATGCTGTATCAATCAGTTCTTAGTTTTAAGCAACTCAATTTTTTTTTTTTTTTTTTTTTTT